CTTCACACTTCGAGACTATAAAAAGTTATCAGACACCTTGTATATAAAGTTAGATATGCAATTGTATCAAATGATAACATTACATTTAGATATATTAATGATTTAACCAATAATTCTTATAAAATTTTAAATAAATAATTTCTTGAGAAAAATGAAGATTAAGAGAAATTTAACGAAATACGAAATTACTTGTATATGTATATATCATTATATCATTATACTATTTTTTAATAACTTATAAAAATAATTCCAAATATCTAAAGAATTTTTGATTAATTACAAGCACTTTTACTATAGATACAAACAATGCAATTAATAGCGACAATTATGGGCATTAATATCAAATAATAATAATATTGTCTGTAAAAATATTGCCTCATAATAATAAGAATAATGCTTAATAACAATTATTATTATCATAATAACCACAATAACTTCCATGACTATGAAATTATCAAACGTGAAATTATAACACGTGACTAACATATAATGGAGTCAATACTTATCGGATAAAATGATATAATTGAAACGCTTATTATCAACATTATCACAATAATTACAATGGCACCCATGAAACTATCAAACATGACTAACATATAATGGAGCCAATACTTATCGTACGATAAAAAGATAGTTGAAATGTTCTAGTAAAACTTTATAAAATTTTTTCTTTCTTATTTCCATAATATATAAAAAATTTATATTAAATGCGATATGTTAAAATTTGTTGTTTTATCTTAAAAACTTTAAATTTTGTTGTATTTAACATCTCTATGTCATAATTTTGTTGCGATTGTAAAATCACAAATTATGTGTCTCATCGAGCGAATTTCAAATTTTATCTGATTAAAAATCAAAATAACTTAGAATAACGAAAATCTTTATTTAAGATAGAACAAGTTAAATAATAATAGATTGCAGTAAAAATAAAGACGTACAGTGCTAATCAAAAAATAAATAAATTTAATATAAAATTATTTATTTTTATTTTTTCCATTCAATTGTATGTAAGATAGTCATATATTTATATTTATATATAAAAAACAAAAGTTTCATAAACAATTAATAGATCTTTAAATAAACATTTTATAGAGATCTAATTTAAAGGACACAAAAATCTATAATCAAAATGTTATGTCTATATCAATTGATCTCTTTGATTAAAAAGTTGTTGATTTATTTTTTCAACATGATTTCTTACTGGATTGCATTTTATAATTTCGTTATTATTATAATATAGAAAATCAACACATTAAATCGTATTTTTGGCTCTTATAAATCTAATTTCTTATTATTTTTTTAATGTTACATTGTAATATTTCTGTAAGCGAACTGTTGTAGCAAATTTCACAATGTTTTACACATCAATTTTGATTTTGAGGGAGACATTTAAGTATATTCAATGAAATGAAATTTTTTTACTATCTTCATCAGGATAGCTATAAATATATCCCTTCAAAAATTTTAAATGACAATAGAGATCAGATGGTAAATCATTTTAAAGATCTTTTAATTTTCTGTACGACTCTTTAGTTTTTTTTCTTTTTTATTTAAGTAAATATTTTTCGAGAAATCGCGTACTTGGAAGTTTTAAGTGGTTTAAGTTTTAAGTTTTTTTTAAAGTGATCAAAGAATCGTCAAAAAGGAGGATAAGACAACTAATCTCTGTCACTTTCTATTCAACGCTTAGAAAGAAAGAGAAATGACGTATTCCCACTCTATCTCTTTCAATTTTTCTGATCACATTTAGTATACTGTTTAATACACTAAACTTTTAGTTACGGATAGCGCAGTCTATGCTCTATATCGATGGAAAAAACAAAATTTTAAGAATATTTAAAATAATTTTTCAGAGAAAATAAAAAAGAAAAAAAAATCACAACTTCTCAAACATTAATAAACTAAGTTTTAGTAATAATATATAAAAAGACAGTGCACGTAAAGATACTCTTCTTCCATTCATCTTTATTATTTTATTAAATTTTAATACTATACTTATTTAAAATGTTATTTTACGTTATATACAAACTCTGTAATAATATTAAGAAAATATCGCAAATTAATCGAATTAAATGTAATTAAAATGTCAAATATACAAAGAATATAAAATCTATCTTAAATTCTTCAAATGTTAATATTTTTTTATCATCAAATCATCTCCTGAAATAAAAAATATTGATTTAACAATATTTGGATTTAATATTAATATATTTAGTAATAAAACTGATATTTTTAAACTTATATGTCATTATTTTACATTTCTTTGTTATTATAATTTTTTTATTTATAAAATTCCCAGATTAAATATTGTTGCCTCATGATGAAGGTTATCTTAATGGTTTCAGGTCAGTCAACTAAAGATCAAAATCAATCAAATGAACTATATAACAAAAATTTATCAAAATCAGAAGGAATAGGAGACCTAGCAAAATATATATTCCACAGACTATTGTTCGTAAAATATATAAGTATATAAACATATAAGTATATAAAAGTTAATTAATAAACATAAAAGTATAAAAGTATACAAGCATATAAGTATATGAAAGTTAAAGATAAGAGATTTAAATTGTAAAATTTTAGACTTATATTGTAAAGTCAATAATTACAATAATGCATATTTTATGTAAATTTTGCTCTTAAATTCTTCGTAAAGAAATGAACATTAAATGAATATTAAAAACGATGCAATAAATATTTTGAAAGATTTTGTATAAAATATTCCGACATTTTTTTATATTTATATTATAATTTTAATTTACACAAAATTATTTTTACGTTGTTTAATCTTATTATATTCGATAGTTACACATAATATTATTTACATTTTACTTATTTATGTATTATGTACAGTTTAACATCGCATTTAATGTAAGTTTTTTTATATAATATGGAAGAAAGAAAGAAAACAGTTTATAATATGTCATTAGAGCGTTTCAACTTTACCATTTTATCGCGCGATAAGTATTGGCTCCATTATATGTTAGTCATGTTTGATAATTTCATGGTAATGGGTGTCATTATGGTTATTGTAATAATGTTGCTAAAAAGCATTTTAATTACATCATTTTATCGCGCGATAAGTATTGGCTCCATTATATGTTAGTCATGTTTGATAATTTCATGGTAATGGATGTCATTATAGTTATTGTAATAATGTTGCTAAAAAGCATTTTAACTACATCATTTTATCGCGCGATAAGTATTAGCTCCATTATATGTTAGTCATGTTTGATAATTTCATGGTAATGGGTGTCATTATGGTTATTATGATGATAATATGCGTTTTAATATCATTTTATCGAGCTGAAAGTATCGTTGAAGTTTGGAGCGTTCCTAGAGCGATTTTTGGAAGTACATATAAATAACAAAATACATCATATATATGTAAAATAGTAGAATATAGCACAGCATAATATAAAACATAATATTTCAACACGCTTTACGAAAGACACCCTTATTATCGAAAAACCACCCTTCAGATAATTAAAAAAATTCTAGCTTTGCCAAAAATAATTTTTCCATTTCTACTGTCACATACGGTGACTTCCAAGTGCCACGCACAAAATGGGGCCGACATTGATCCGATATATCCTGTGAAAAATATTCTTATTATCGAAAAACCACCTCTTGGACCATTAAAAAGATTCTAATTTCTTCAAAAATAATTTCTTTCATTTCTTCTGCTACACACGATGACTTTTAAATGCCACACACAAAATAAGATCGACATTGGTCCGATATATCCTGCGGAAAATATTCTTATTATCGAAAAACCCTTCAGATAACTAAAAAAATTCTAGCTTTGTCAAAAATAATTTCTCCTATTTTTGCTGCCACGTACGGCGACTTCCAAGAGCGACGCATAAAATAGGACCGGTATCGGCCCGATACATACATCTAAAATATTATGTTTTATGGCTCCATTATATGTTAGTCATGTTTGATAATTTCATGGTCATGTGTGTCATTGTGGTCATTATGATAGTAATAATTGTTATTAAGCATTATTATTATTATTATTGTCATTGTCATTGTCATTGTCATTGTCATTGTCATTGTCATTGTCATTGTCATTGTCATTGTCATTGTCATTGTCATTGTCATTGTCATTGTCATTGTCATTGTCATTGTCATTGTCATTGTCATTGTCATTGTCATTGTCATTGTCATTGTCATTGTCATTGTCATTGTCATTGTCATTGTCATTGTCATTGTCATTGTCATTGTCATTGTCATTGTCATTGTCATTGTTATTGTTATTATTATTATTATTATTATTATTATTAGGCAATATTCTTACTTTTAAATTATATTATTATTATTTGATATTAATGTCCAAAATTGCCTCTATTAATTGCATTATATCTACGTCTACAGTAAAAGTGCTTGTAATTAATAAAAAATTTTTTAGATATTTGGAATTATTTTTATAAGTTATTAAAAAAATAACATAGTGATATAATATACATATACATTAAGTAATTTTGTTACACAAATTTCTCTCTTAATCTTTACCTTTCTCAAAAAAATATTTATTCAAAATTTTGTGAGTGTTATTGCTTAAATCATTAATGTATTTAAATACAATGTTCTTGTATTTGATGCAATTGTATACCTCAGTTTATACATATATAGTAATTCTTTTTCATTTTATATGTTAAATTATGTAATAAATATATTGATCAATTCTAATATACTTTTTATATTATTTTGAATTAAACAATTACTAATAAAAAAATATTTTCTTTATATATTCTTTACAAGAATTCAAAATTATTTTTTAAACTCACAATAACTTATCATACATGATGTTTTAAAATTTAATTGCACCAAGATAAAAAATTCATTATTTGCAGATAATTTATTGTAAAAGATGCAATTAGTTGGAAATTACTTTGTTGCGAAAGAATTTAAAACATGTGCAAGTTTATATAATTATAAAATTAATAACATGTGCAATTTTATATAATTATTTTACTGTTTTATAAATACAGAACCGAGTATTGGTACGTCATTGTATAGCAAAACTTAACGTACAATTTTTCATTGCAATTTAACTTGAAATTTGCGTTACAAGTTTCTGGAAGAAGGATTAAAAGTGAGTATCAAATATATAAATTATATACGTTGAATTCTATTAGATGATTTTAACTTAAATGTCCACTTTTTTAAACAAAACAATCAATTATTTTTAATAAACTAATTCTAATATAAATAATTCTCTTTAAAATATATATAGAAAATAAGAATAAAGGCACTCCGAATCATAAAACTAACGAATCACAAAATATTTATCACAATACTTATCAATAAACTATCTATTAAAATATCTTATTCTTTATATGTATCTCTTTTTTACATATATTTTTACACATATTTTTACATATTTTTTTACATCTCTTTTATATATACAGGGTGGGGAAAAAGTATGGAAGCAAACAATTATTTTTCGAAACTATTCATTTTTCGACAAAATGTCTTAGACATAATTTTTATGGTATGAAAAGATGTATTATGTGGCATAGACGGCATGACCTTGAAATGACCCTTACGAGCTGCATACAAATAACGTAAAAAATTTCAAATGGAACTCGTCAGTTTTTGTTACAGATTCTTGTAGCTGATGTCGAAACGTTTACAAAACACTGCATATGAGCCCCATTCCCTTAAAAACACTCCCAGTTACGAAACAATTGTGATAATTCGTATCGACGAAATTGAAAATAGACAGCGTACGTGTGATTACATGAATGTGTGTAACGCGACTGAACGTCATTATGAGAGATCAGATATGATCACTCCACACGCAAACCTTTCGCTTGAAAAAATTTTATTTTTTTACAAAAGTGCTCAGAGAAATTTTCCTAGATTTTCAGAACTTTCCTATAAATCATCTTCTTCTATTCTTTCTTTATTTTATCTTAAAAACTTCAAATTTTTTTGTATTTCTAATGATTTCATAATCGAATATATGTATGATGTCAATTTAAAAAAGACAAAAAGAAAGAAAGATAGGATATTGTCAAATAATCCATTTAGCTTTTTAGAATTTTTAAAAATTTTCTATGATATCTCATTAGATATTAAATCGAATATTTATTTGCCAATATATCAGTATGTAGCGTACGAATAAATTAATTTCTTAATTATTATAAAGAGAAATTATTTCTCAATATCACGTTTATTAATCTTCTTTTCTTTTTATTGAAAATTCTCTATAAAATTTGTCAAAATTTGATGAATATAAGTATACATATATCCATAAAGGAAATAATTAATATTAGATATGAAGTATTTTTAATGGATATTAAAAATATCCACAAATATGTAAGAAACAGCTATTAAAGATGCTATAGATATTTAAATGTTCGCAATTCCAAAATTTTATAAATATATACAGGATATGTAAACCAATATTCAGTGGATATCTATACAAAAATCAGTGGATATTTACATAGATACATCTATTACTTATATATTGATATTTGTTCGATTTTTGCTGGAAATATTTATTCAATGTCTATGATACATATACATATGTATAAATAACGGAATTTGCAACCGTCTGCGATTAATTTTTGGAGCTCTAGAGCTCCTCGCAAAAGATAGAGGAGATACGACTAATACCCATACAGCACAGACCATTGTTGTTACATTGAAGAAATATTGCAGAAATATAACAACAATATAACAAGAATGGTCTGTGCTGTATGGGTAGTGTTGCGTCCGCGGAACGATATATCGAACGCGCGCACTCGTAAATAACGAGACTTTAGGAACAAAGAAAATTTAATGAATCACAACGATATAAACAAGAACATAGATTATTCACAAAATAAGCCACGCATAGACGCGCATCTGCATAGCTTGACAGCTGACGTTAGACTCCCAGCTGATCATTGTTTATCAACAACGTCTTAATGACGCGTTCGAAGACGATCCTGCATCGTCGAAATATTTCCCGCTGAAAGAATACAACGGGTAGCGAATACATCCGCAGGAAGAGACGCGGGGATGCAATAATAGCCTTCGAGCTAACGCACTCTTTGATCGATGAGTCTGACTAGCGAATCCTAGACCGTGCACGGCCTTATGGATACTTCTAGGCGCAAAGCTCGTGGCTATCCAGTGGATATCTTTGGTAGCTACTTGGGGAAATAACTCACACGCAAAAAAACGGGCCACTAAATTTTAACATCTTTTAATAATGAAATCAGTAAATAATCATCTTGAGATGAAATAAAGCTCAAATTAAAGCTTGAATATTGCTCTCAAAAACTAAAAAAACCAAAGTTTCAATTACAAGAAATGTTTTACGGAATAACGAATGCTGACTTTGATACACTTCACTTTGCATAGAAAGTTACATATCTATATGGAATTATGTAATAATTGACTTTTCTTGCGATAAATGTATTAATAAACTTATGAAATTTCTTTTGTTTATATCTTTTTAATAAACTATGATCACCGACTAAAACCTTCACAACATTATTCAGAGTGATGATCTTGATGACAGGTGAGAATTATTGAAATCGAGAGGTGGTCCGTATAAGTAAATAATTACCGCATGTTGCATATAATTCAAAAATTCTTTTATTAATAACTTTTTAATAACAAAGAGCGGCTAAAATCTTTTGAATGTTACTCAGGACAGTGACTTTGACAACATATGTCAAGATCAAGACGATTCGATTTCCCTGGTGTCTTTTTCTAAAGTTTTATCACAAAAACATTACTCTCAATCTTATTTTATTTTTGTCTAAACGAGTCTCCGAGTAAATTTTATGGAAAAATTTTTGAAATAAATAATCACATTAGTTATAAGAAAACAACTTATCATAAGTGCAATCTTAACAATCAGAAGACATTGTACTTCGAAATTATTCATCTATTCATTTTGCGATTAATCTATTAATTATATACGAACGTTAATTCACCATCCATCTTCGAATATAAATCTGAAAAACGGTCTTTGCGATGTGCGAAGATTAAAGGCTAATAATATCAATGTCGGTCTTAGAACAGGCAAGAATTTTATTTTGTAAAAATTTTATATTAATAATGACACATTTTGATATAAAATTCAATAATAAACATAAATCAACATTTTAATGTAATAATTAATCGGACATAATGTTCATATATTCAATGCAAAATTAATCGATATAATGTTTATTATAATGTTAATAATAAATGTATCTTCTCTCAGATGTTTCAGCTGGATCAAGTTACAGCATCTTGGATGAAATGAGATCGGCTTTACCACGTATCAAATTCTCTACATCTAACGAGACATAATTATGTACCACTAAATTATAAAGATGTCTTCTCTATGGCAACATTAGGAAATGCTAAAGGTAAGGTTCGAATACATATTAAAAACGATAATTATCATAATAAAATATGACTTTTTATATAATAATATATACTATAATTTTCAATCTAACTAAGTGTATATTGACTGTGTTTAGCGCTTTCGATTGAGGACAAAATCGGTAACTTGATGTCAAGCAAAGAATTTGATGCTCTCGTCATAGATTTGGAAGCAGGAAACAGCTTGTTGGATAACTTCAGAAAATATACACTCGAGGAAAAACTCCAAAGATTTATATTTTCCGGCAATGATAATAATATAGTATCAGTTTATGTAAAGGGTAGAAAAATTAAATAAGAAAGATTTTATCTTATAAGACGTTACTGTTACAATTATTAAAAATAATTTCGTGACGAAAATAAGCTGTTGTATGAATTATAAAATACTCGTTATAAACAAATTTATAATTCTCAAACAATAACAGACTCAGTCTTAGTAATAATATATGAAAAGACAATGCACGTAAAAATGCTCATTTATCTTTATTTTATTAAATTTTAATACCATAAATAAAATTTTAATACTTATTTAAAATGTTAATACTTATAAAATTTTAATACTTATTTAAAATGTTATTTTACGTTATATATAAGCTTTGTAATATTAAGAAAATATTGCAAATTAATCGAATTAAGCGTAGTCAAAATATCAAATATACAAAGAATATGAAATCTATCTTAAATTCTACAAATTTAAATGTCAAAACTTCTTTATCATTGAATCATCTCCTGAAACTCTATTATTATAAAGAAGTCCAACAATAAACATGGATTTAACAATATTTGGATTTAATAGATTTAATAATAAAACTGATATTTTTATATATGCGATTATTTTACATTTCTTCGTTATTATAATTTTTTTATTTATAAAATTTCCAGATTAAATATTGTTGCCCCATGATGAAGATTATCTTAATGGTTTCAAGTCAGTCAACTAAAGATCAAAATCAATCAAATGAACTATATAACAAAAATTCATCAAAATCAGAAGGAATAGGAGACCTAGCAAAATATATATTCCACAGACTATTGTTTGTAAAATATATAAGTATATAAACATATAAGTATATAAAAGTTAATTAATAAACATATAAGTATAAAAGTATACAAGCCTATAAGTATATAAAAGTTAAAAGTAAAAGATTTAAACTGTAAAATTTTAGACTTATATTGTAAAGTCAGTGATAATGCATACTTTATGCAAATTTTGCTCTCAAATTCCTCATAAATTAAATGAATATTAAAAACAATATAATAAATATTTTGAAAAATTGTGCATAAAATATTTCAATGTTTTTTTTATATTTATATTATAATTTTAATTTATACACATTTATTTTAACGTTGCGTTTCAACTATACCATTTTATCGTACGATAAGTATTAGCTCTAAGTATTTGTCAGTCATGTTTGATAGGTTTATGGATGCCATTGTAGTTATTGTGATAATGTTGCTAATAAGTTTTAATTATATCATTTTATCGAGCTGGTTTGGAACGTTCCTGCAGCGATTTTTAGAAAGTACATATAAATAACGAAATACATCATATATATGTAGAATAGTACAATATAGTAGTATGGCACGCCGTTTTGCTATTTAATATTATCATAAAAATTCTAGCACATTAAAATAATACTCAAGAAAAAAGAATTATTATTATGTCTAGACATATTTATAATTCATCAAATTATTATTTAGCTGTAACATAATTGAAAATGCAGAATTGAAATTATGTCTAGACAAAATATTAATTTTAAATTTATTTTATGTTATAACATAAATATTTTTCGGGAATAAAAATTATGGACATAATTTTATTTTCCGAACTTTTATTATGTATATAATGTCAATTACCGAATTAAAATTCACGAATTAAAATTATGTACATAATTGAAATTCCCGAATTTCCATTATGTACATAATTTTAATTCCTGAATTAAAATTCACGAATTAAAATTATGCACATAATTTTAATCTTCGCATTTCCATTATGTATATAATTTTAATTCCTGAATTAAAATTTATAAATTAAAATTCACGAATTAAAATTATGTACATAATGGAAATTCGTGATTGGTGGCAACCCTGCACGTCTACGCACGCGCGGCGTTACGTTCGATATCGCGGCGTTAAATCTTGTGTCCACGATGCTAGAAATCGGTCTGAGTCCTCGGATCGAAAAATGTGTAGCCAATTAATATGCAGTTTTTACGGAAAGGCAGCAATTTTATTGGCTACACATTTCTCGGTCCGAGAACTCGAACCGATTTCTAGCATCGTGGACACAAGGCCTTACACATATGCCCCCGTCCTACGAACGCAATCTCAATGATAATATGTCTTTTGCCGCGTTTTTACATAATCTTAAAGTTCTATGTTCAGTTAATAACATTTCCTCGTGTTCATCGGTGATTATTTTCAATAATATGGTTTTCAATCTTTCGTTTGTAATCAGATAAAATAATTATTTTTACTGCTGTATCTTAATCTCAAGCTACATATATTCAACTCTTACTCAGAAAAAAGAAGAAATCAGAAACGTCGAGTGACGAAAATATAGCTCATCGGCTAATCCAAATCGCAGTTAATGCATCGAGTCAAATAACTTCAGAAGAAAGAAATTTCTCTTCACTGATTCAATCAACAAGAAGAAATTTTAGAAGATAGGAATTAACATTCACCCCTCGCAGTGGTCGAAAAAAAGCAGAGAATTTTTAAAAGAAAAGTTTTGATGAAACTGTCGAACGCCGATTATTTTCCATTGAAGCCAGAACTGAAATTTTTAAAGTAAAGTGGATTAGGTACTTATAGTAAAATGTTAGTATAATTTATAGTAAAACATATTTCTTTAATATTAAAAAAGAATTGTCATGATTCTAAATATACGCCGTTATTATTATTGTTGTTGTTGTTATTATTATTAATATTATTATTATTATTATTATTATTATTATTATTATTATTATTATTATTATTATTATTATTATTATGCCATATCAATTATCAAAGGATTTATTATTTTTTTATGACTTATAGAAAAATTTCTGAAATTATACCAGAAGGCCAGTAATTGTCATTCATTAAACAAACAAATCTACTTACTATTGATATTGATAGATATTGATTAATGTGAAAATGAAATGTGTCATAACATTTCAGCAAAATGGAAAACCGTGTAGATATACACGTTGTGCGTACTCTTCGTAGAATTAGAAAAATCCTTAGTGAGGCAGTGAGATCTTATGAATATGATGGAAATGTAGAGCAACATTTGCTTTTTATTGCTCTACAAAATTTACAAAGGATATCTACAGTGATATCAGAAGAAACATACAATCAATTGAAAGAAGCAATCGAAACTTTATTACTTATTAAAAATGATCGACAACAAACGAGGGCTTATGTAGCTCCGAGAGTTAACATGAATGGTGATTTTTCTCTATTATTACTTCAAAACTTATTTGAAATATTCAATAAATTCTTAACAATAGAGAATATTTTGGAATAAGTTTCTGTTTGATGTTATTAACTTGTTCTAATTTGTAACTTACAATAGAAATTTATTATTTAAAGGATCAGGGTGTTCCACCGTTTATATAGACCAAGGTCAATTAAAAATGCTATATGATGACGGATGGACAGTAAGTGAAATAGCAAAATCTCTTGGATGTTCGAAGAAAACTATCTATCAAAAGTTATATTCTTTAAATATGCCTATGCGTGCACGGTATGCTCAAATTCCTTATAGTGACTTAAAATTGGAAATTATAAAAATCCATGAAGAGCATCCAAATGGACAAACGGTAAAATTCCAATTGAAACGGTAAAATTCCAATTGAGTCTAAACACATTGTTCTTATTTTCAATTGAAACGATAAAATTCCAATTGAGTCTAAACACATTGTTCTTATTTTCATTAATATTATATTCATTTATATAGATGGTACAAGCGTATTTAAGAGCAGTCGGTTTTCATGTACAAAGATATAAAGTGAGACAAGCTTTGAATGAAATCGATCCCATAGGAACAGCGAGTAGATGGAGTCAGTCTATCAAGCGGAGAATTTATAAAGTAGCAACACCAAATTCCTTATGGCATATGGATGCACATCTGAAACTGTCCAGGTATGAATGTCTTATTGCCTTGGTTTCTAAAAACGATTGTAAATATATATTTTCCCATTTATAGATGGGGCTTCGTAATTCATGGTTGTATTGACGGATACTCTCGGCTGATAATTTATTTGAAATGCACGACTTCTATTCAAGCCGAACCTGTTGTGACTTTGTTTGCAGAATCCGTAGATTGTTATGGATTACCATCACGAGTACGATCAGATCATGGTTATGAAAATATTCTCGTGGCTTTTTTGATGAATACAATTCGTGGCTTGAATAGGGGAAGTCACATTACTGGAAAATCCGTCCATAATCAGAGAATAGAAAGATTATGGGTAGATGTTTTTAAAGAAGTATGCGATTCTGTTTATTCTGAAATATATGCTCTGGAGAACGATAACCTTATGGATGTAAATAATCTTACACAGGTTTTGTGTACAGTATGTATATAAGAAAGTTATTAATAGACGATTGATATCATTCCAGTCTGCATGGAATGTTCACAATTTGAGAACAGAAAATAATCGTTCGCCGCGTCAACTGTGGCTCGAAGGAATATTGCAAAATTATAATACAAATTCGATCGCAGTTCAGGATGTTTTTGAAACCAATATGAATCTATACGAAAGACTTTCCAAGTCCTTGCGATTATTAAGAATAGATGTTTCTACTCCTGTAATAAATCGTGACAATATTGATTCCTTTTCATCGAATTTTACTGCATTTTTAGACCTAAATGAAATACAAAAAATGCATCTGGAAAATATCATAACTTTGGATAAATCAGATCGCGAAAAGTACATATTATGTGTTAATTTACTGATGAATTGATTTTTCTACCTTACCAACGCAAGTAAAACGTATATTTATAAGTTTCGTTAATCTATCAGTGACTACACATCCAATAAAATTCACATTCATAAAAACTTATATTCTATCATTTAAATTTTCAGCAGTTTTTCTTTATAAATAATTAGAGAGAACACTGAATTTGTTTGAATGGACACATTCTTCAAATTTTTATTATTCTCCATTTCGTACATCTTATTGTTTAATACAATTACATAAGAAAATATCTCTCTAATATTGTAATGTTGTAATTCAATATTGTTTGTAATAAAATAAACGAATGTCATAATAATTAATAATAACATTAGTA